AAAAAAAAAAAAAAAAAGCCAGATGATGCAGAAGATTTAGGGATGAAATCTATGTCTTAGAAACCTGTTACAGTGTTTTTAGTATACGTATCTTTTCATGAAAAAGTTTTAAACCTTCAGAAAATTAGCTAGGACAGCACCGTGTCCTTGCATATGTTCGTCACCCAGATTCATCCAACTTTCTCCAGCTGGGCCAAGTTCCGGGCTCATGGTTCTTCCCTCTGAGGACGGGGCAGAGCCACTTGAGGTCCCAGGATTCAGACTCCCCCCAGAGTCCAGGCAAGCTCTCTGGTCCCAGTGGTTCCCAGGCTGGAGGTGGGTTTGTGGAGTTCTGTTACAGGGCTGGATGTCTCCCTTTGTGCACCTGGCTTACACAGCAAGCTTGGTCCTGGTCCTTGCTCCTCCTCACAGGCTGGACCTCCGCTCCTTTTCCCATGGAGGCTGGGAGGTTCTCAGCACCCGGGCAGAAAGACATCCCACTCTGCTCTGTGGGAAGCCTCACGACCCAGAGGTATCCCTGCATGGGATACCACTGACAATTCTCTCTGAAGACAAAATCAAATTCAAAATTCACAGAGCACATAGAAAACCCATCTTTGTGAGGAGGCGTCAGCTGGCTCCCAACACAAGCTGAAGAGCCATGGACTGTGGATGATTTTAGGCAAGCGCTCTACCGCTGAGCGCCGTCCTCAGCCCCCATCTACTCATGTTAAAGGGACTTTAAAATTCAGAATGCTTAACTTGCAAAGCTCAGAGGAAGAAGTAGGATTCCTAAGACAAGAATAGCGCAGTATTAAAAAAAAAGAATAACATGTTGAAAAGACCTAAACTCAAAAATTCTGGCAGTGAAAAATGTAACTATGAAAATAAAAAATAAAATAATTAGATCCAGTTGGACAGAAAATAAGCAAAGTAGCAGACAGATCAGAGGGAATTGGAGTAAACGTAGCCCAGGGAGTGAGAGTGAAGGTGTGTGAGGCCCTGCATGGGCTGCAGTGGGGAGGCCGGAGCGAGAGGAGGCCACACCAGGGGCAGATCTGACTGCAAAAGCCTTGAAGGCTGGGTTAAGGCCTCTGGGCTTGGTCTTGGGGCAGTGGGGAGTCAGAGAAGATTTTAGAGCAGAGCCAGTCCATGTAAGACGCATGTGCCTGATGTTCACTCTGGAGCCAAGTGCAGGAGGGATGGCAGAGGAGGCTACTCAGGCCAGAATTTGTGGGGTCACAAGGAAGTGCCAGGATTAGAGTAGGGGAGTCGGGGAGCGTGAGGGCGGAGGAAGAGCCAGCTCAGACTGAAACCAGACAGTGTCTCTGCTGTGGGGCTGTCTTTCTGGCCTTCCCTCTCCTCTTAGCCAGCTTAATGACATCCTCACTTGGGGCAGACTTGGTTTCTCCTGCGGCCATCCTCCCAGGGCCATGCTCAGAAGGAGGCCCAAGAACCTTCCTCCTCCTGAGCTGGTGGGGTCAGCACGGGGCTACGGCCGAGCAGGGTGTACAGGGTGGTGGTCCCAACTCTACGTGCAGGAGTTTGAGCATGGTGGGCTTCTAGGCACCGGCAAGGCCCTCTGTCCTGTGTCTTTGCCATCAGCTGGGCCAGCCTGCATCCTCCTTTGGATGGCGGAGCCTGGCCCCCGCCCACCCCACGCCTGCCTGTGCATCCTCCCTGCCCACAGGATGTGGACAATGGCGAGCCTTCCCCAAATAACAGGTCAGCTGGAGCCTGGACTTCATAAAAATAGCCCTGGTTCAGCCCGGGGCTGAGCCCAACCCTGAGGCAGGGGCCGAATGCAAGCTCCAGGGCCACAGCATAGAGTCTAGGGCTCCCCTTCTCCAATCTTGTCTTTCCTGCTCGGGGACCACCTTTTGGGGTGAGACAGGCCTTGTGTGTGAGGGTGGCAGGATGGAGGCCCGGGCTGCCTATCAGGACGCAGAGCCCCTGGTAGGGTGGCTTGGGGCTTCTGGCTGCTGCCAGCACCTTGAGCTCTGGTACCACCATAAGGGCTAGACAGCACCTCAGGCATGTCATCCAGTCCCCTGTCCTTCTGATGGCCTCGAGCCAGCTCTGCAAGGGGGAGGGTGCCTGGGTTCCCACTGCCACAGCTGGGCTCTTCCAACTCCACCCATCTTGTCTACAGCTCCTCCTCCCCCCCATGCTGGCTCCTTGCCCCACAACTCCATTGTCCTGGACCTGTGGGATCAGCACACGTGAGCTGAGCGAGGGCTTCCCCACACCCAGCCACAGGATGTCCTCGTGCATGCGAGAACTTCTGGGAAAGCCGCCCCTACCAAAATCCGGGTGGGGCAGCCAGTCCGGCAGAAAGCTGTCCTCAAACAGCAAAGACCACGGGGTTAGGGGTGGTGGACAGGGGAAGCTTCTAGCCTGGGCTGGTCTTCACCCCTGCGGAGCTGGCTGCTGGCTGGCTGGGCCTCTGTGTTCCTGTCGGACACGGTCACATGTGCAGGCCTTTGCTCGTGCCTCTTCTTCTCCCAGGAGCATCCCTTCCTCTTCTTTCTAACCTGACTGTCCAGGCTGCTTTGCTGGCCTGTGAGAGACCCCGGAGGGCCTGGAGGGTTCCTCCCTGCTGCCTGTCCTGAGCAGGGGGTAAGGGATGAGACTGCAAGATGCAGCCTATCTCCCTATCAACCCTGGATTCCTTTGTCCCCAAGAAGAAGGCGCTGAGGTCACACAGGGGTCCAGGTCTCTGCCTGACTTGCTGTGTCACCTGGGGCAAATTCTGCTGCCTCTCCTTACAACACAAAATTACATAAACTTACAAAATTACATAAACTTACAAAGCCCCCAGAGTTGGGGGGCTTAGGTGCGCTAAAGGCATGTAGGTGCCTGGTGGCCTTGGTCTCACTGGGCCTGGCAGGGGATGCACAAGCAGCGTCTAAATTCTGGCTCAGCTCCACACTCACTATGAC